TTTCATTACATGATACAATTAAAACCAAAACAAGCCCCAAAACAAAAACCAAATCCAAACAAGCCAGGCACATCTAAACTTTTTGGTTTTATTTTTCTCCGGCAGCACTTGCTATTGGCACCTTCAGATGTGGCAGGCTGGGGAATTTTCATCAAAGATCCTGTGCAGAAGAATGAATTCATCTCTGAGTACTGTGGCGAGGTGAGGATGGAGAGCACTGGTTAGGTACCAGCTGAACTGCTGAAGCTGTGTCTTGGCTCTGGACTCAGAGTTCGTCCCTCACCTGGTGTCACGTTTACACAGAGAGATGTGATGACCAAGTACACAGCTCCTGCTGGCAGACGCTCCAAACCCAGAAGCTGGACAGTTGAAAATGTCACAAAAAATTAGACATAGGTTCTTGTGGAACATCATTTTTATCTTAGATGTAATTTCAGTTCAGACACACCTGGAATTTTGTGCAAAATTATTTAGTATTGTACCAAAATTCAGTAGATGCTTTCACTAAATTACAGTCTCTAGTAATAAAACCCTGAATCAGGTATGTAGTCTTGATTTTGAGATGAGAAGCAATTCTTGCTTTGCTTCTGCTCTGAAATAACTTATTTCATTTATTTTTAAGTGAAGAGCAAACCACGGTTGTTTGATAAGCACCAAATGCTTGTTGAGAACAGTGCTTTATGGTTGGGAATATTTTCAATCCCAGAGACTAAACCCCTCACCTTTCTTTGTAATGTTTGTGGGTTTTGCCCTTAAGCTGCTATGGTTACCCAGGGGAAGAGGTGGTCTCTTACACATACTGTTTCTTTCAGATTATTTCTCAGGATGAGGCAGACAGAAGAGGAAAAGTCTACGACAAATACATGTGCAGCTTTCTGTTTAACTTGAATAACGGTATGTACGTACTTGACACAGCCTTTGCAGCATAAATACCTACACTCACCATTTTGTCCAGCCCTGTTCTTTTGCAGGGAGCAGGTAACAGTGAGAATTTTTTTTTCTGTGCATCTTTATTAGGAATCCACCCATCACTAGGTATTGAGACCTAGTGCTTTTTTGCTTTTTTCCCCTCAGTCAACTAGATAGTAGTGATAGAGCCTATTACACAAGCCAACTCTACCAGGTGAGTGGAGTAGAAGTAGAATTTAATGGAGTAAAATTACATGCAGGCATCAAGTACAGTAGCCTAAAGACTTTAAAAGGCTTGCTAGGTATTGTCTGGAATAATTTTACTGTGACTTGAATTAGCAGTGATGATGGTAATTTTGTGTCAGGGGAAAAAAGCCACACGCAGGTACGTGGCATGTGGTTACTGCCACTTGGAGAGAAAAATAGAGACTGCACTGTGTTAAACATGAAATAACAGAAAATAGTTGAAAGGAAGGAAAAAAAGCTGCTTTATGTCAGGGTTGATTTAACACATATATGGAGCTTGTCCTTGTGGAATAAAGGTAGAGAAGCTTCAAATGAAACTCTCCTGTGGCAGGAGACAAATGGAAAGCAGAGCGTGGGGCAGCAGGAAGATTTTGAGTCTTGCAGAACAAGAAAGCGACTGGCGGTTGATGTGCCAGCTCTTCCACGTGGGAAGCTGAGCAGTTATCTTTTCCAGCTGCTAAAAAATCACACTAGGCATTAAACAAACACAACCATTTGTTTGTAGGTGACCTGTCCATCACTTGTGGGTTTTGTTTTCTCCTCCTTAGATTTTGTGGTTGATGCAACACGCAAGGGCAACAAAATTAGATTTGCAAACCATTCGGTAAATCCCAACTGCTATGCAAAAGGTAAGCTTGAAATTTCCTCGCTTTTAGCAAAGTATGGAATGTTGTGGGCATGCTTACTGAGAATGCACGTTTTTATCAGTATTTGTGTTTAACCAAAGTTTAAATGTCTTTCAAACAGTTATGATGGTTAATGGCGATCACAGAATAGGAATATTTGCAAAAAGAGCCATTCAGACTGGTGAAGAACTGTTCTTTGACTACAGGTTGGTAAATGGATTTTGTAATTTCTTCTTAGAAATTCAGAGAATGGCTTAGCCTTCAGTATTTCTGCTCAGGTCGTGATTTCCTCCTGTGCCCACCTCCTCACAACCTCTGCTCTCAGCAGCTGAGCAGCACTCATGCTCCTGTTGTGGGGTTTGTGTTGTTTGGGTTTTTTTTTTTAAGCCAGATACAGCATAGTAGGAGTGACTTGAACAAAGCTTTGCAAACTGTGAAAGCAGCTTGTTTAGAGAAAAACTTAGTGACAAGTGAGGACAGAGCTGCGTGTTGAGCTTGTGCTGGTGGGGCTCCCCAGGTACCAGGATGGAACCATTCAGAACTGGGCAGGAAGTGTTGATGTGTTAGTACAGAGAGGCGCCTGCTTGCTAAGATTGTGTTCACACTTTCCTCTAAAATACTCTCACTTGAAGAGAATGAAGCTGGCCAGTGATGATGTCGTGTAAGTCAGCCTTGAGAAAGGCAGTTGCTTTCCAAAATTAAAAAAATAATTTTAGCACTGTGAGAGTCAAGGTAAAAAAAAGTGGAATTTTAGCCTTTCATTTCCTCTTGGGCAAACTCCTCTCAAAGCAGTTTCTGGAGTTGTGTTGCAGTGTTGTTCTGCATCTGCCAGTTCCCACCAGGAACGAAGGAAACTGGTGGGGAAAGGATGTGAAATCTGAGAGGATTCCAGGCCCTGGTGCTGTGCTGCTACATCACGATGACGAAGTGGAAATGTTCAGTGTCACTGGTTTTTATTGTTGGTTTTATGTTTTTAATTTCAGATATAGCCAAGCTGATGCCCTTAAGTACGTGGGCATTGAAAGAGAAATGGAAATCCCTTGACACCAGCTACCTCTTCTTTTAAACAAACAGCTGCCTTATCTTCAGGAATTTCTAGTACTGTGGGCAATTTTAGAAACATAAAAATGATGCAATTTGCAATTCTGTATTTGCAAAGTACTGTAACAGTAATTTATAGTAACAAATTTAAAAAAACCCAACTTTTTATTGCCTTCTCACCAGCTGCAAAGTGTTTTGTACCGATGAACTTTTGCAATAATGTGGTGTGGTACATTTTTCAGCCTTGAATAAAGGATACTTGAACTTCTTCATTTTTACTGGAACCGAGTTGGAATTTTGTGTCAGCCAGTTGAGGAAGCGACCTGAACACTTACTTTCAAGTTCTGAGCAAAGGCAGCTCCGTACTTGTCTACCTCTGTTACTTCAGGTGAGATTTAAGGTTAGTGATTAAGATTAATTAAGATATAGACAGTGTAGGAGACTGTCAGGCTGACTGTGGGCCTGCAGCATTCTCTGAAGTGATGGCTGCAGTTCAGAACCTCCGATGGTTGCTCCCACAGCCAACCTCTTGTTGCAGTAGCAACCACACTTAATTTTTTAAAAGTTTTTCTCTGCTTTTGCTAAGTCTCAGCAGTCCTTAGTGCGAACAAGGGATCTGTCCACTAGATGTGTTTAATGTGAGGGGAAATGGGTTCTCCCTTGGGACAAACCCTGGTTTACAGCCAAATCTGTGGTAAAAGGTTTGTTTTTCTCTTCTTATCCAAAATCATACAGAGCTACCACATGTTTATTTCTGCTTTGCCTCCTGCACCATAGAACACGCTGCTCTACTCCCAGCAGCTGGGGTAGGAGGGCAGGCCCAGGGACACGCAATCGCAAAACTGATTTCAAGAAATCCTGTCAATAAATCAAACTGTCACAGCAAGAGCCAAAGCAGCCCTGCCTGCTGCCACTCTGCTCTGTGGCGGCCTGAGTAAGAACTAAGAACTCATAAAAAACAAAAGTCAAAACTGACTGTCTCCCTGCATGACACAACTGCTAAGCCCAGGCTTTGAGATGCAGCTCAGAGCAGGTTATTGCTGTCCCTGTAGCACTCTTACCTCCTGCTACAAAAAGCCTCTACTGCCAAACCTTCTGCAACAAGGGTTTAAACAAAGATAAAACTCAAAACAGCATCTTAAAAAAAAACCCAGACCAAAACAAAACACAGAGAGAGAGAGCTGCGTTTAAGAGCACAGAAAGCATCACAAGCTCCATCCTCTAAATTTCAAAAATAAATCTGAAAATTTACAGCGAGACGCTTCTGTTCCCCATGCTGGCAGGTTTCAGAGCAGTTAACATTCTTTGAGCACAGGAACAGCAAACATGCAAAGTCTCAAGTGGGGCTGAGACTTTTCCCCCATTTTCCAGACTAGTTTGGATCACATCTAATACAGCTCCATAGTTTTTTTTGTTGGTTTTTTTTTTAACCCAGACTTTTTTCTAGGTCAGAGCTCAACTGTAACCATGAAAAATTAGCTTCTCTCTCCTAGAAAAACAGTATCAATACAAAACCTGTCTCCCTTTTGTTCCTGCCAGAACAAACACTAAACAAATCAGAAATTCTAAGGGGAAAAAAGGTTTGGCTGCAGAGGGTCAGTTTCTTTCACCATCAAGAACAGAAAATATAAATTACCAAAACTGAGACCTGTGAGGATGGGAACATTTTGCTTTTAACACTTGGAAAGTTAATGTGAATTTCACAGGTATATAAAGAGTACAAAACCTGGTGAGAAGAAGGGAACGAAGCCTGGACAATCACTGTATGTGTAGTAACACTCAAAAATATTTTAATTCCCCTCACAGGCTGCATTTCATGGGAATTAATCTGTAGGAACACACAATTTGCTGTTCTAATTAAAGAAATAGGCAACCTAAACCTTCATGATTCAGGACAGCATTTGGGCAAGCGCACTGCAGTTTAGAACATACCAACCAATATTAAAACCAGCTCCAATTTCAGACGATCAAGTACTGACACATCTATTCTAAGTATTTTCCACTCTGCCTGATCTTGTGAAATCATCACAACTTTCCCTTTTCAAAGCACAGACATTTCCTCTTAAAAAAGAAATAACACACACAGTCAGTGATAGGTGACAATTACTTGAGAACAAAGTGTGCTTAAATCACCAGAAACCGGGGAAAAGGAGGAAAAGCAAAATGAATTTCTATAGCTTTCATAACCATTATTTTTATTTACATTTAGAAAGGTAAGTCATGAAACTTAAAACAATAAAACCAAATGCAACTTGTACAGAAATCTTTTAATTTTTTTTTTTTTATTTATCACACATTAAAAAATGAAACACACTATACAAATGGGTTTTCATAGCGGATTACACATGGGTCCATTCAGACTCGCTCTCAAAGTGCTGCCAACACGTATAAGTGCTGCCTGCGCCGGCAGCTGTTTCTCATCTAGCCAATGTATTGATTTAAATGCAGTAGCATGCAACCCTCAGAGGAGAAGGGTTTGATTCCTTTCTGTTCTTAAATTAGGTTAAATGGCATTGGTGTCCATATTTACATACTTGAAATGTTATCAATCCTGAGCAGTTCCGATGTAAATCCGAGCCGGGCTGATGGGAGTCCTGGTCTCGGTGGTTAAAAAGGGAGGTCCAAATGGCAGCAGGGCGGCTGCTATGAAGTTCTGGTGCTTTCTTTCTTCCATCACAAACCTATTTGCCGAGTGTCACACAGTCAAGGCGTCGCTCATCAAAATGTTAAGCCAAGTAACTGTAGGTGTCCTTCTCGCCGTCCACGCGTTCCAAGTACTCCTTCTCAATCAGGATGTCGATGCATTTCTGTGGGAGAAACAAAGAGAAGTGGTGGGAGACGGGCAGAAAAGCCCCCTCGCTGCTTGCTATGAACTTCAAACAACTTTGGTCACTGAGAGTCACACCAAGCAGAGGTCAGGAGGAGAAAAAGGGGACAAGCCACGGCAATTCACTCTCCCGTTCCTCACCGCGTTCAAGTAGAGGACTTCACTACAAAGAATGACGCTGACTTGGTTTCATTTCAGGGTAGTGACTGGGAGATCAACTGATCACCAGTATACCCTTGGTTGTGAATGTAAAAACCACTGGTGAGACCATTAAACAGACTGATGAGGAAACTGTAATTAAATAGGATGCACCCCATCCCCAGCATCTTTATTCACTGCTCCCACAGCTGGGAGAGCCAGAACAAGAGGTAAGGCTGGAGCAGAGGCTGCTGTAAGCTGGCACTGATGTGAGAAGATGTCATCAAGCTACTGTTTTACCACTGGCAACAGCGTGAACCATATCAGAGAAACACAACATTTCTGGTTAAAAATATTTCCTACTTACTTAAAACTCCAAATATCTGTCCTTACCCTCCCACCTCCTTATCTTCTCTTTTTAATTCAGAACCATGTACTTTGTCTATAGAGATCCTCCTCACCTCCTGGCACACGTGTTCAGAGATGAGGTTCTCACATACCTTAATTACTGGAACTCGTGGCTTGAACCTCGAGGACAGCTGCGTTAGCACTTCTCCAAGCAGTTGCTGGTGCTTTAGAACCTTCCTCATTTTCATGATTCTCACAATAGCAGCCTGCAGAGGAAAGTCAGAAAGGGGTGCTTAGGAGCAAACTCCTTCTCAAGTGGAGACCTTCTAGTGGCCTCCTAGTACCTGAAGGGGCTCCAGGAAGGGTGGGGAGGGACAGGGACGAGGGCAGGGAGTGACAGGACAAGGGATGGTGGCTTTAAACTGCAAGAGGGGAGACTGAGACTGATGCTGATGAACTAAGACAGACTCCCACTGCCTTTAAGAGCGTTGTAAATACATTGTTAGCTCCCACACAGTGCACTGCAATGGCACATTGTCTTTTAACACAAATGAAGAAACCCCCCCAGTAAACTCCATTATAGGATTACAAAACTGCAATTCCAAGTTCATAGCATAGCAGCGTTATGCAACTCGAGTCACCTGAATCAGTAGTTTCCTATCTTCCTCAATATTTTTGTGTGTAGTTTCTTGCTCCTGCTTCTGTTCAGTCTTCATTGGCACATTGATGTTTACCCTTAATTTTTTGCTGTAAAGAAAAACAAAAGTTAATAAAACAACCTGTTAAAGAAACAATAAAACAAACAAAACCCCCCCCAAAACCGTGAACAAAACCCAACTCCAAAATAAAAGGCACGCCACCACGTTTGCTTTACAACACAGTAACGTGTGGCTGTGCTGGGGAAGGCTGCAGCGGAGGGGGATCTGTTATTTATTGAGCACAGACTGTACACCTGTCACCTTATAAAAAAGAAAGTATTTTGCTGAGTGCATGCAAGTCATGCACCTTGGTGAAAACCAGTGCAATTTCTTACCAGAAATCCATTATACAAGAATTAGAGAAGAATCAAGGAACAAATTTTCACAGTATGTGAAAATACATCCAGGCCTTGACGGAGTTTATGACAAAGTTCAAGTCAGCTGAACTCCCACCCATCTCCTTCAAAGCTGGTACCCGTTGGAGCTCTATTTGAATTGGCACCCCAACCCTAGAGCTTTCACCCCAGGTATATTGGGTTTTACCCCAATTTGGAAGGCAGAAAGGGGATGCTACCCACGCTACACAAGTGATGTAGGCTGCTGAAGTTTGTCCTTACTTTTTATAACCAAGATACAGTTTTATTAAGGTATCTGGTTTTAACTCCACTTCATCAACATTTGCATTTTCATCTTCCAAAACCTGCAAGAAATAAATAAAATAAGCAAATAAATAAATATTCATTACTACATTTTACTGAATGTTAGGTGGGTCAAAAAAAAGCAAGAGTACTTACAAGCAATTTTGATTTCAACAGTATCTGTAGAACTTGTGCCAAGATATCCTACAAAATTACAGAAACCATGATCAGTGCAGAGAGATGGCACCTTTCTGTTACTTAAAATACTTCAACAAGGACACACATATTTACTCTAAGAACCAGTGAGTGTAGACCACTGCAAAATGAGTAAAAAAACCCCAAACAGTAAAAATATAGTTTACAGAAAGAAAACCTAGTAAGGCCCTTTCTGGATGTTAGGACATATTCCCCTTGTGGTCAGTCAAATAACAAAATTCTTTAGAAAGACAAATTCCAAAACAACAGATCTTCCCAGTTGCTGTTTTAGGAGCTATTTTACAAGCAGATTTTTAAGTACATGAAATGATTTTTCTCAAACCATGCAAATACAGACACCATGGCAAGCTTACACCTCAGAAAGCAAGCACCCTTTGCTTTCTGCTTAACCTGTTTTTCTTTTCTTGCTCACACCAGGCATCTGTTCTGGTTGCTGGTCGCTCACCCAGATGGTTACACTACTGTCAGTGTGCTGTGCAGCCTGCAAAGCTGCTGTTCTACCACAGTGGAAACCTTCTGGGTGTCATGCAGTTAGTTTTCAGCTGTATAAAGAGTTTTATTCTGGTCCAACTGTAATCTGAGCCAAATATTTATTAAATAGATCTATATTTAATAGATTTATATGTCTATATTTAATAGATCTAGATATCTACAGATACCTATATATATATTTAATAGATTTAGATATATCTGTATCTGCAAACAAGTATCTATAATAAATGGCAACCTCCCAAGACTCTGGGTTTGCTGTAAGCCAGTAGCAGCAGCAGTAACTTTCTAGATGTGCATTTCTAAAAGTAAAGATCTCACCAGGAATGGCCTAAAATTTCCAGAAGTCCCAGCAGATTTGATTCCAATCTACTAGTAGAGGACCCAGACGCCAAATAAACTGTGGGCCATAAGGTCTACTTGGAAAGAAAAGGAGGGAACCTTTTCCACGAGAGAGAGTGAGGCAGTGACGCTGCAGATTTCACCATGTTCATGGAGATAAGCCTCGAGATGTGAAGAAGAATGCATGCACAGATCAATCATTTAGGGAAAATGCTCTTTTTCCTAGAATGTTGCCTTTTATTATTAAAATGTATGTAGTGAAACACTGAAAACTTAGTAGCAGAGCTCAGCAGAAAAAAAAAAGCTAGACAATTCACTCTAGTCATGAGCAGGAGGACAAGCACACAAGATTCACCAGAAGAGAAGGCAGTTATGATCACAGGAAAGTTACCCAGGAAAGGAAGCTGACCAAGAACAGAGCCCATCTGGCTCCTTCAGGACAGAAAGCCAGCCCCAGTTTCTTGGGATAGCAAGGAAGAGCCCTGAAAACCAAAAGACTGGTTCACAAACGTGTGGCAAAAGGTGCAAAGCCACTCGTACCATTTTGATCTGGGTACTGTCTGTCAGCTGCTGCACGGTGTAGGCATCTTCCGTGTTGTACTGCAGTAAAATCGCCATCTGGAATGTGGATGCCTAACGGATCCAGAAAAACAGAGAATGAAGGGCAGAGGGGGGAAATGAGAATGAACAAACATACTTTCTGAATTTGAACGGTCTGAAAGTCACCAGTTAAATACAGACACTGGAATATCTGGGCAACAGAGAATCACCAACCAGTGCTAATCGTTGCACAATACTTATACAACCTGAACTCTGCCCTCCAGCATTATCTAAACATACACCTGAAGATTATGATCATTTAACCAGCTGCAGACACTTCATCAAACTCTCTATTGTGGTGTCAAAACCTTATCTTTCTACTTGCTAATATTAAATTCTTTTCCTCTGTCACTCTCTGACTCTTACCCGTTTAACCTTCATTAAAACCCAGGCTACTGAATTCCTCCTCACAACCCCCCCCAACTCCAACAGAATCATGAAACCAAATTTATAAGCCAGGCAGCTGTCAGTGGCTTGTTCACATTTGTCACCACAGGGTTAATCTATGTTGATGACAAGTTCAGACTCTGAGATTATCTTGTTTCTTCTCACTGTAGTTGTGAACTCCCCTCCTCTGTCTGCTTTTTGGGAGAAAGCTGATGGGAAATATAAGCAGTGTGAGATCTTGTGCAAGGAGGCTGAAATTGTCTCACACAACGCTGTTCAGCACCTGTTTAAATCACACTCCATTTCTAAGTCAATTTTCTTTTAAACATGGGTCTTAAGTATCAGTACACTAAATAAATATATAATAAAGGTTCTATTAATCATAATGTTTTATGTTCACCTCAATAAGACACAGATCTGTAGCCACCAGGCCTTGCATCTGTGCTTTGCTTTGCTTTACTTAAAGACAGTTGCATTATTGACAGGAATAAAGCTAATGAATGCACGTGAGCACCGTAAGTAGCAGCTAAAAATGTATGTGTGCGTATACATATGAATGTGCACACAAACCCCCTCAATTAAGGAACTGAATGATTTTAAATACTTAGCTGTGATACATCATTACATACTGTTAATGAATATTTTGACATATAAATAAAATTCACTGGATCATCTATTAAAAGTCTGTGCACAGGCACAGTTATTGACATGGACTCCACTCCTTCAACATCTACACACGTCACCATTTTAAACACAATTATCAGCACAATGATCCTTTCAAATAAGGAAAAGCAATTATCTCCAAATGAGGAGTAAACAGACTGAGCAGCTCATCCAGGGAAGAGTGTGAGCACATCTTTTAAGATATCAGCTGCACCCAGTCCTCTGCAGGCAACCATCAACCATCACCGAGGGTTTCCATCGGCACGACGTTCTCCTTACCTGTAACGTGTATCTGTTCTTGAAGCAGTTGGTGACCAGTTCCCCTTTGGACAGCTGATACAACCATGTTAATTTTCTTCCACTATGACGACTGGCATAAAATGCAGTAAATCTCTGATAGCTCCGTTCTAACTGTATAAAAACAGCAACAACAAATAAATAAAGATTATTCTTTACTTTCATTTACCAGTAGTAGAAATGCTCTGGAACCAACAAAGAAGAATCAAATCTGATCACCCTCGACTACCATGTTTGAATAATACAAACAGAAATCCAAAGTATTCAAATTCTTCAGACTGGATGAAAATTTCTCCTTGTTCCCTTTAAAGTGTCATTAACAACACAAACCTAAACAAGCATTTCAGTTCGATTCTTCCTTTTATGATAGATTAAACAAGGCTAGAAAGGCAGTATTGTTTAACCACCTTCGTCCTCCTCCAGGTAGCAGCAGCTGAACTTATTTCTCATGTTAAGTGTTCATGTCTTGTCTATTCTGGATAAGCATCAACAGAAAACTAAGGATTGTAATAAGGATTTTACTGTTGAAGCAACAGCAAGAAAAAGTTTCTTAAATAAAAGTATACACAGAAAAATACACTAATAAAGATTTGCTTCTTCAGTTAATGTTGAATGTTTTAAAAAATGATTTTATAAGTTCAGGGAGTGACAGGATGAGGAGTGATGCCTTTAAACTGCAAGAGGGGAGACTGAGATGAGATCCTCCAGCCAAACACCAGAGACACCTCCAGACCTCTCTGGCACACAAGACACCAGACTTGTAAAACAACTTTCTCGCCTGATCATTCCACGTTCGGAGGAGCCAAGGGCCAGGGCCTCACCTCGGAAGGCAGAGCGAACGTGCAGGACTGCTGGAAGGGCCACGATCCAGAACTCAGCACCTGGATGCTGAAATCCACTGGAAGAGAGGTGAAGAGGCTGAGCTGCCATATCCCCCTCACTCCCACCCCCTCTCCAAACAGTCAGTCCCACTTCTAACACAAACAAGAAACGGTTCTGCCTTTTGCTCAAACTCACATGGTGAAAAATCATTAAGCAATATTTATATTTCTTTTATTCAGACCATAAACCAAAGGAATTCATGTAAGATGTCACTGCAGTTGGAGAGCTTTAGATTTACTGATTTACACTCAATTTTCTCTCATTTGTAAAAGTTATTAACCTGTTTCTATCCCATAACTGATTTCTCTATTAACATGCAAGTATAAAAATCATAATTGTTCATTTTTATGTGTAAGTAAAAGTCATCACTCCACAGTACACACTGCAAGAATAAAGATTCCATGTTTATACTTGTAAGGCATTTTGGGCAAGTCAGTAAGAACAACACAAAAACTAAGTAAAATTTAAACCTGACCATACACAACTCTAAATGTAATCCAACAAATCATCATCAGTTCTTCAAAGAATTTGTTTCAATGTGCTTCAGTGAAAAAATATTTCTTTATAAAAAAAGTGAGAGGGCTGTCTAAACAACCTAAACCACAACATCCTTTCTTCCTTAAGACTTTTACATAAGTAGGAACTTAAGCCATTTTGTGCTCAAAATCAAAATGGCTTAAAAAAAACCATCTTTCCAATTAAAAAAAAGAGACAGGATTCAACTTAATTTAATTACATACCTAAAATCAGGAGGAGGCTACCCATGACAGAAGATATAAAGTGCTATTAGAAGACAAAACACAGACCTAAAAGACTAATTTAAATATAAAAATTCTAGCTATCTTGGTCAAAAAAAAATACTAACTCTAACTTGTAGGGGTATGATGTCTAAATCAAGTATTTCCCTCTGTGGAAATAAGAGAACACCAAACTACTCAATGGGAACTTAGGGAAATGTTATTACTTACAATCTAACGGTTCTGAATTGGTCAGGTGCTTTTTGAATTGCTCGTTCAAGTCCTTGCTTACACCGATATCTTGGAACATCCGCTGCAGCTTGGAGGTGTACTCAAATCCACAAGCTTGCTGTATTTTAAAAGCACAGATACGTCAGCAAGACACAGATTTGACATTGGAGAATGAGAAGAACAAAGTATCAGACCCTATTTTCTTAAAAGATGTACAAAGTTCAGTATTTCCCTCCCTCAAAGTACTGACCCCAACCAGACATGCTCTTTAACTGCCATCAAAAACTGGAGGAAATTTGGTTCAAAAACAAAGCAAACAACCCATGAAACAGACTACTAAAAGAGTATTAGATCATATTTTGCTTGCCCCTGAATGAACAAGGGTTAGGGAAATTAAGCAACTTCTCAGCAGTCATTCCCTCAGATAATTATATCCATGCCTTTCATCTGGGTAAGAATGATTGAGTTTAACTCCATCTTAACTCCACTGGACAGACATGCACTACAAGCTCCTAGGAGGTTGAAGTAATAATAAAAGGTTGCTTATTTTTCTATTGTACAAAAAATAATGAAACAAAAGGACGTACATGAATGCTTTCCAAGGCAGGCTGAATACCTGCAGCACGGGACATCGTGGAATACTCACTTTTAGTTTGGAGATCATGCTTGCCTCAGCATCGTCGCTCGCACTGTTCTGATGGACGAGTCTTTTTGCCAGCATTTTAGCGTAGAATTTTTGAAACACGTCTTTATCCTCAATGTACTTGAAAACAACCATCTGGAAAAGCCAAGAAAAAAAAATAAAAAATTAAGCATTTCTCTTGAAAAAGCTGCATTTAAACTCTGCACCTTAATTTTTAAGGGCAGGGATTTTTCTGTTGTGGGGTTTTTTTCCACCTTTTTTTTTTTTGTTTTGGGTAGGGGAGTGGTAATGTTTGTTTTAAATGTGGATACTATTTTAAACACATTAACTATATATTCCACATGTACAGCCTTATATATGAATAAATAGGTAGCACATATTTATAAATTATATAAATTAAATAATTTATAAAAGTAATTATATAAAAAGATATTTTAGAAATTATATAAATTATATGTGTATATAAAAGTTAAGTAAAAACATGAATTCCATTTTGCAACTTTAAATCTGCTGTAAAGGGCTTTTTTAAATTAAAAAAATTACAACTAACAAGCCACAAGGAGATTATTACTGAAAAGCTGAAATATTAAGTAATGAAACATACAAAATAAAAGGTTTTCTCATCTGAACTGCATGATAATTGAGTATAACTAACTTGTCAAAGCTTACACAGAAGAGAACTGTATTTATATTCATCTTACCACTTGATTGAGTGTATCTTCCAATTCTGCTTCTTCTGGATTCTTTGAGCTGCAATTAAAGTAACGTGTTTTTAATGAGTCCCCAAACTGCTGAATTAAAACAACCTATGGAAGTACATGGAATTTCATAAATAAAGGAAGACAGATCAAGTAGTTCTGGGATCAAAGACGCTTTAGAGAGGAAGCAGCAGAATGAAATGAACACTTCTTCACAACTCCAGGGGTAAGCAATTCTGAAGGAGGGGATTTTTAAACAATAGGCTGAAGATCTGGACCATGAATTGCTCAGGACTTCCTGACAGCCCGATACTTCTCAGGATTAATGGGTTTAAACATGGATCTCTCTCTTCCTGCCCTTTTTCTGCTGCTAAATGTTATCTTCATTTCTTATCTTAGTAGAGTGAAAAGGAAACAGCTCCCAGAGCTGGGTCTTGATGACCTGAGGGCTCAAGTGGCACCACGCTGTTTTCCTCCGTATCACGCTTGTCCGTCAGGCAGACCCCAAATCTACCCTGCACCAAGCTAGTATTTATAAAGGGGAGAAGAAACCCTCTGCTGAAGGAAGGAGGGGATGGGGAAGGGAAAAGTGAGCAAGTTGTTCTGGTTTTGGGTTGTCTGGTGGTGTGTTTTTTCCTCCCCCAAAACAGCTAGAAAAGTTGCCAGTGACAAACCTGAGACAAATCCAGTATGAACTGAACTGATACCAACTCAGTGGATGAGCTGCTGAATCATTTGAAACTCAATACCTTAATTAAATTATGAACCACGAGAGCTTAGAAAGCAGTTTTTATCCTCCTCAATTTCTGCCCAGATGGAAGAAGATATATAGAAAACAACAGGAGGAAAGCAAGAGTTTTAACGGAAAAAGGAAATGTGCTTCTCTTCTTTACAACATTTAACACAACTCAAATTTGGGGGTGAAAACACCACTAAAAAACCCCTTCTGTTTTATTAAAAAATAGAACTTATGTCCTGTAAGGAAAGAAAGGTCTTGGATATTTTATGATTTCCTCCTTCTCCTCTTTAAAAAAGTAAACTCCATATAATCTTCAGGAACAGTCCTATTGAAACGTTTGTATTCAGAATTTGGTATACTTAACTTTTCTTGAAACATTATGTTCTGTTTCTGAAGACACAACATAAAACTTCATATGCTAAAACTTTTTAAAACAAAAGCCAACCTGAAACAGTAACTTGTCTTTGAAGACGTACCTTTTCTTTAGTAAAGAGTCACAGTATCGTGCCAGTAGCTCTGGGGATTTACTGGATGATTGAGCCATTTTTGTCACTGCATTATTATTTATAAATCGACCACAAGCCTATAAATCACAAAAGACAGTGAAATTTTGGGACACAAAGTGCTGAATAAAAATAAAATAAAATAAAATTCAGTGCATGCCACTACATGTACTTACTTTATCTAGTGCAGCCACAAAGCCAGCATCATTGTTGAATGCAGACATGACTAAAGCATTGTATTTCTTATGGACATCCAACACTGTCTGTACATACATTTTTGGATCCTGCAATAAAGGGAGATAGTTTTTTGCAATCCACTGACTTTTTGCTTCCTCCAAAATGGAGCTACTCACAGGCCTAAGCACATTTTTATGGGGCAAATCTACAAAGTATTAGAAATATTTTAAAGGTAGAATAGTATCCAGACTAGTTTATGTCCTGTATCCAGGACTGACTGACATGAGTACAAGCTTTCATTTCCAGTGAGCAGAGTGCAGAGTGTAATACATTACACGGTACAAAAAGAAGACAAAACCACTTACTCAGCCACTGCAAACATTTCCAAGAAGGACGTTGTCAAAGACCTAAGCTTAATTCCAATCAGACCTGAGAGCGCTGGAGGATCATCACATGGCAGTTGCTACAGAAGAAACCCTTGAAATCATCTCTGAAGCAAGAACATTAACAGGTGTATCCCCAATAAGTACAACTTGGTACAGAGACATTGATGATAGTTCTTAAAAAATTATCCAATCAACACACAGAGGCAGCCAAACGCCAATAAACATCAAGTTTATGGCACTCAGAGACTGAGTCCCATCTGCAGTTACTGATCTCTGCATCTCAGTAAAGATGGAGTGGAGTGAAGAGTGGGGACAGTGATGGGCAACTAAAACGCCAGGCAGCCAGGGCAGCTACTATACAGCAGACTCAAAAGGCTAGAAGTCTTCAGTTTGGAGATCAGAAGTTTGAACGGCCACGTGACCAAGGTTTACAAAATCAGGAGGATGACTGAAAAGACAAAGGACCACCAAAAGCCACATTTTGTAATTACGAGGCACTTGATGAAAAGTGATAGGAAACAAGTTGAAGACAGATAAAGTAGAGAGCATCTTTATATATAAGGCAGTGGACTTCTGGAACTTGCTGCCCCAGGAGGTGGTCGGAAGCAGATAATATCAGCAGGTTCAAGAATGGATCAGATAAACTCATGGACAACAGGTCCATAAATAAAAACTAAAAGGAGCATGGAGAGGCATGGAGGTACTTCTGTAACATTCCTCCTGTAAGAGTTCTGGATGCTGGCAACAAATGGCAAAACATGGGCAGGGTTGGATCAGGATCCTACAAAACGTTTCCTGTCGCTACTGAAGACAGACATAGACGACATGGACCACCGACGTAATGCCATGCTTGAGATAAAGAACTGAGATTATCAAGATCCTCCCAGACAAGAAATTCAAATGGACTTGAAGGACATTCAGAGAGGCATCTACTGATTACAAGGACTCCAAAAAAACCCCATAACCAGAGGCACAAAAAGCAGTAATCTTCTGACTGAAGAGCAGCCTCATTAATCGAGTTAATGGAGTCCCGCGCACAACTCATTCTGCAGTAAATATCTAAAATAGGTCAGATGAGTCAAGCTGGTATGATTGTTTCGAGAAACTGACTACAGAGAAACTGAGAAGCATTTGCTCAGCTGATTATCTGCTTAGAGACAGCACAGATAAATGAAGTTCGGCAGAATCAATCCTACCTAAGTGTGAAAGAGTAAACAAGGCCATGATGAACAGCCATATACTGGTGTGAAGGATACTGGAAGAGGAGGCATGATGGTTCCCAAGGGAGACAATCAGAAATACTGTTAGGAAAATGAAGAACAAAAATGTGAAAAGAGAAAAGGAACAAAGGGAAAGATGAAGAAACAAGAAAAAGCGTCGTGATCAGGAAAAGTTTTGTAAGTGGTTGGAGTCAAAAGAACTAATCCATAAAAATCTCAGGCTTCCCCTCTCTCAAAGATTAATTCATAGAGAAAGAGCTTTCATTTTTCTGGGAAATTCTTCAAGGCCTAAGTACAAAGAAACTCAAGAGTGATGATCACTAGGGGTATGTGCCAACCATGGAGCACATTTGATTTCAAAATTTAAGGTGATGCCTACAAACAAAGCTGAAGATTCCTGAACTTACTTCACGATTCATCAAAGATCAACACTGCTAAAAAGCAATGCACTTAAAACTACAGAAGGGAACAACAGACACTACACACATGCAAAACATCTTAACCTGTGCTGAAAACCTGAAGTTTTACTGTTCTCCATGCAGTCATTACAGATTACTGCTTTAATGAAGCCATTATATTTCAGTACACTGCTTAGTATGAAGCCATTTCAGAAATATCTGAGGCCAATAACAGGTTACAATGAACCTCAAAAACCAAAGTTAAACCCCAAACCAGAATCTAGATGCTGTCCTAATTTTGTTTTCATTCATTCAATTTTTTTTTCTAGAAAATGTCACATTGTCTAGAGATGAGGTTATCAAAGCCTTTCAATAACTTCAAGTTGCAGAGATTCAACCCTATCAATACAAAATTAAGTTTGAAATTACAACTATGGGATAAAATCAAGAAAGCCAATTATACAGCTGAACAATCACAGTGTTGCAGAAGACCCTGACCTGCTCCTTATACCATGACCTCTCCAACCATTTCAGTTATTTCTTCCTCTTACATTTCTCAGGCTTTTTCAAATAGAATAAAGCCATTCACAAAAAAAAACCCCAAAAACCAGAAACTTTCTCCACACAGTCCCATCTAAGTCAGAAGTCTATAAGATGATGAAATAAAATACAGTACACTGGAGATAATGCTTCTTGAAACAGTGGATTCTCACGGGTATTTCTAAGTGTAGGATGTGTCTGCACAGCCAGCTTTCCAAGCAGCACGTTGTCCTGACAGAGAACAAAAGCTCAGAAGGAAAAAAACCCCCAAACAAAAAACCAAAGCTCCAAGGGTAGTACCACAAAATGACACCAAAAAACCCCCCAGAGCTCCGAGAGTGGTACCCCAGTGATGTGACTGTTGTTTTAAGCCTACGATTACCATTTGAGAATTGCCCAGTCATCACAAATGAAACCAGGGAGAGGGAAAGCACAAGAAAACTGGAAATTGTATCAGGAAGCATTCCCCCTCCTCTGATGTAAAACCCGCAGCGACCACACACAGACTTTTTTTGATGGGATACTTGCATTCAGAGCAGCTTCTCCACACTTCTCAATTGCAGCTAGACCCTGATTATGAATGTGGGTTTCCAAAAGTTTTTTCAGCTCTCCAAGGCCATCCTGGATTCGAGAGACAAGGTTATACATGCGTCCCAAGTCTGGAAAAAAAAAAAGAAGGAAAGCCAACATCTCCCATTTGTACTAGCAATGACGCCAACTCCTCATTTACAAGTTGACAACAGGAGTTAAACATCCATCAGCAACAGAAACTGATGTGCAATTGCTCCTGGAAAAAGCCAGCAAAAACTACAGCAAAAAATTATATGATATAGCAAATCTTTGCACTAACCTGGAAAGCTAAGACTAGTTAAAGAGAAAACAACCTGTTAATATAAATATTAAGATCTGTTTGACCTCTGCAATGCTACATAAATCTCAAGAAGAAAAAAACCAACATAAGTTATATAAATATATTCATTCCTGATTTCTAGTTTTTGTAAATCTGAAGAGGTGCAATGATTTAAAAATGGAGTTCAAGCCCTCTTATTTAGATGGAGTTTGGAAGTGTTACCATGAATTAGGACTGTCATTAGTGTTACTGCTGGCTGTGCTAAGAGCACATTCTCCAGCTCACCCCTCTCCTTTAAACTGAATTCTGAACAGGACAGTTCTTGGGGATTTCACACCATCTTTTGTTTATTAACGCTCCTACTTGGGGCAGCATCAGTGGTAACAGTTGGAAATTTAAGGCAAAATGTTAGGTATTGATATCACCTTAGTGGACCCACTGAAACATTCTAAACCAAATTTCCTCCAATAAAGCACTGTCGGTAAAGCCATCTCTTGACAAATAACATTTAGCTAACTGATTACTACTAGAAGCAATTGTATCTCTAGGGAAGAAAAAGTTCTAAAAAAGCATTACCACAGAACAAAACTAACAAAGGTAAAAATAAATTGCATGTCATTTCACATATGTTAAAGCTTCGTATTAACATCTCACCAGTTTTCAGGCAAGACTTTCCAAAATCAATTAGCAATTTTGGAAAGTTTAATATTGAAGAAGGTTTTGTTATTAACAATTTTCAACAGGGCAGATGCTTTGAGTGCAGAATACTTTTATTTTAAAAACATATAAAAAAAAGAGGCAAAGCAAACTTGAAAACGTCCATAAAGCAGGTACACAAACCCACTAGTTACCTCTTGTAATCTTGCCCTCACTGAACAGGCACTCAAGTGAAACAGTAAATAACCAAATGGGGGTATATCACCTTGTTGAGTCCATCTTAAGGCTGTCAGCTCCATCTAGCACTTGTAAAGTGTAAGGATTTCTCTGAAGGGCTTATGAGCAATTTATTACAACCTGGGGATTATCAGATTAAATAAAACAGAGCAATCAAGCAGCTGCATCACTTCCTAACTGAAATACAGCGTGCAGAACTTAATGCCTTTAATACTGAAGCGATGACACCACAGACTCGTTTCCACACAATGCTTCCCATGCCTTAGAGCTTCAGCAAGCTTCAACTCTTGGATTTGAAAAGCAAACATTTTTTTCTCTCTGAATACCACATGGATGGTTTTCAAAGAGAAACCTGATGTTAGACTTTTATAACAATGTAAGAATGCTGGGTTTTTACTTACAGAATTTTAGAAAAAAGGTAGGAAAATAATGCCTTGCATAGATAGAAGCTGCTGCTAGACCTACCCACAACTAAGGCTTCCCAGGTGGGTCTATCAGGATATCTGAACTTGGTGAAATATGGAAGAGATGCTATGAAGCCTCGAGGAAGATTTACAGGGTGACTCCACCTAAATCATTACAGCCTGCTCCCAACAAACAGAATTATTTCCAACAGGGAAAAGACTGATGTGAATAGGTAACACATGAGAAATGTGCCCCACAAGCTTTATAACTAGTTGCGCAACGTGATTAAAAAGTTACAGAACAGCGAGAGGAGAGGTTTGTAATACAATGTGCTTAACACACTTCACGTGGGACGATCGCAAAACCACTGTACGCTCCAGAGTAGAGCAATAAAGATTTTAATCGGGAGCAAGATTTCCTTGTAAGCTTAGGATAGTTTACGGCAGGCTGTTTTAGTCTATTACAAATTTGAAAGTGAACTGATTAAAGAATGAATTCTCAAATAATCTTTCAAAATAAATGTTTCTTATCTTGAGCCTTCATGAAACTTACAAAGGGCCAGGGAAGTACTGTAATTTGTACAAGTGAAGCCTGATAAGAGAAAAGGAAGGATTTTTAAATAGGAGAAGAAAAAAATCAGGCATTTTAAAATGCCTAATTAATCTTAGAAATAACCCAAATGAAATTAAAACCAAAGACATATAACAAGATGGTTCCCAAGACACAAGGTGTCTTTCCATGTTTACCCTGACAAACTTCTGGAATTGCATCACTATGGTAAGTGACTGTATTAAAGGCTCACATAACCCAGGAGCTTGATAAAGTAGGGAGAAAAAAAAAGTCTGGGAAGGCCTCTGGAGTCCAGATAAATTGTCTTGTTTGTGCTACGACTATTTCTATTGCCAGAAGACATTTATAAAGTCATTTTACTAGTTACCACCCATCTATATCGAAATCTGTTCCAATTACAGAGTAAATACATTTATTTACAAACATAAACAACATCTGACTCTTAAATACTAGCACAGGATAAAAATCTTCTGCTTACATTGGAAACAGGTAACTTCTGACCTACTAATCATGCTGAATTGCCCTTTCCAGTTTTGAATCATCTCCTAGTTATCAACGTGATGATTATAGTAATTATTCATAGCTGCTCTTTTAAGGTTGATACATAGAGAGACAGAGTCATAGTTCCAAATGAACAGTATCGTCAACAGCAATTTAATCACAGTATCTCTTCATTTCTGTCACTTTCTTAAAAGCAGTATTCCAGCTATAGAGCCTTGCCTTGGCTTCCTATATAGATTTAATTAACTCCCCAACCTGAAAAATCAGAAACACTATTCATCTTTATCACCTGCACGACACAGGAATTATTCGGCCCTAGTTTTGACTGTCATTTTGTGCTATTTTAACTCCTGAAGAAACTCATAAAAACCAATACAACTGACAATCCCTTAAAGATACCTAAATTCTTTGATAACCTTTACTTATTTTAGAGGAACTTCTTTAGAAGAAGTCTTTATTCTGTGTGTTCTCTACGAAAGTATAAACTTGATCCGTTACTGGCACTTAAGACTCATTTTCACAGCTAAAATTATCGCACCGATTAATAATTTCCACCCTTTCCTTGTGCTCTATATGCAGTTTTATATATTCTATTCACTATACTTCAGAAGCTCCTTATTTCCTCCCATTCCTCTTAACATTTCCTATACATAGTTCTAGACAACTTGGATTTTTAAATTCTCACTGCTGACTCAGAAAGATCCATGGATTAAACTGAAACAGCTGGTATGACCACAGGTCTCTCTTTCACCTCGATCTCTCTCATGCAAGCTTCAGCTCTCGCCAGAAGGATGGCTCAAGTGCTCTTGAAGCTCTTCCATGTTAAGAGAAATCAAAATTAGTGCTGTTTTGCCTTAATATTTGGGGTCGGAATAGGCTTCTCGAGGCAATATCCTCAGCCATCCCAATGTAATCAACGTCTGCTTGCCAGTCAGTTTAGTGTCTGTCTTCTCTCTCTATCCAATTCCTGAACAAATCACATTTATCCATCACCAGAATTTACATTATTCACAAATCATCAAGGAGGAGCTCTAAGCCGAAAACCAGCATTTGACTCTCCTTACCTTCATTTTTGTCAGCATCCAGCAAATTCTGAAACTCTGTATGAAATATCTCCAGGTGTTTTTCAATAAGTACTTGCTCACACTTTCGTGCCAACTCATCTTGTGTGCTCTCATGGAGATACACCTGAACTCTACGCTGCTCCTCAAGAAGGCGAGCTTCAGCCTACAGAACAGAGAGATAAAGGTGAGGCAGAACAGACATCCAACAGCAGGAAACAGGTGACTGTTTAGTAAATTCATCTAGAGAACAACAACAATCAAACCTCTCACCAATGCAGTATTATGGTCCACCTACTTAAGCAGCTGGTTTTTTGGGAATCCAAATATACATACGGAATCGATGCTTATGTTGATGACAATATTATATACGGTTTGAATGGAGGGGAGACTCGCAGCACAACTGCTTTCCTGACGCTTCTGAATAAGATGGAAATGTGCTGTCAGAAAAAAAGCAATCTGCCGACATGGGACGCTGGGAGTGTTTGCATCAGCAAGCTCGCTAGCTACAGCGAGATAGTTCCGTTTAAGACAACATGCCCGAGGGCTGGGATGCCACCCAGAGCGACCTGGACAAGCTTGAGAAGTGGGCCCACGTGAACCTCGTGAGGTTCAACAAGGCCAAGTGCAACAGGACAAGGGGTGAAGGTTTTAAACTAAAAGAGGGGAGATTCAGACTAGATATAAGGAAGAAATTTTTTACTCTGAGGGTGGTGAAACCCTGGCCCAGGTTGCCCAGAGACGGGGTAGAAGCCCCATCCCTGGAAACATTCCAGGTCAGGTTGGACGGGGCTCTGAGCAACCTGGTCTGGTTGAAGATGTGCCCATCACTGCAGGGGGTTGGCCTCGAGAGGTCCCTTCCCACCCAAACCATTCTATGGCTCTATGACTGTATTTCATGCCTCCATAAAACTAAAAGGCAGAAAAAAAATTAACAGTATGCCCATGACAGATTTATGTGAGTGTTCTCATCAAAATTCTTACACAGAAAAGCTTCCCAATAATCTACAATCATTTCAATTATACTAGCATTTAATTGGCATATGAAATGCTACATATGCATATCTTCCCAGCAAACTAAAATTCTAAATGTCACTCAAGGAACAGTACTTATGTCAAAATGTAAAACTGAAGTTGTTTATGTAACAAATGCCTCTATTTTGTTTGCAAAAGTGTTAAACATTCGCTTTACAAGCCATCTGTAAGTGCAGCACATTATTAGGGGTAAGGTGCATATGTCCCCTTACCAGTCTGTGTTATTTCATGAATAGTGCCACCAAAAGAAAGAAATTAAATTAATGCATTTTCCTTGTATTTCAGAATACCAAAGCATGAAAGATCATATTATGGACAATAATTAAAAAAAAAGAACAATTTCACTGCAAGACAGCTTTAAATAACCTCTGTCACTGTTAGCTTCACTCGTTTCTGTAATAACTCTGCACTTAGCTCCCATGAAATGGTCCTGGATTACAGTGTCCTAGAGTTAAACCAGTACAGGTCAAAATAGGGGAAACAAAATCAACAGCTGGGGAAGGGATATAAGCTCGTGCTTCGGAGTACTTGCCAGTCTCTTACCAGTAAGGAATAACAATCCCAGCAAGTAGCAGCAAATCTTTCTGATGACCACTGGAAACTGGAATCAGACTAGTAAGACTACTTATCTTACCCTTAACCAAAATTCTGCCACTTCTAATGCTGCTTCTTAAAATACCCTTAGACCTTCACTTTCTATGTTAACAGTTAACTCTCACTTGGAGCTCCTTTATGAAACTAAGCACTCACTCTGACTTCAAATTTGCTACAGCCTCTCACTTTTTGTGCTCTTGTAATTCAATTTTCCTTTTGAAATCATATTTCAGAAATATAATTAGTTCACACAATGGTATCTTTAGCTGTTTTAACTGTAAAGATCGAAAGTTCAGTTTGAGACTTTATTTCAAGGGATAGTCTTAAGAAATGCTGACCTTTTTCCCCTACTGCACATCAGGCCATGCCAGCTTTACTCATGAGTTCTGGCCTGAGAAGAAAAATTCACAATCCTTCTAAACTCAGTAAGTCTGCCTGGACAACCAGGTACACATATTCTAATTCTAATTAAGATTTAATTGAGTATTCTACAAGAAAGAACCACAATTCTATATCATGGTAACACTGATGTTACGCTGGTGTGCACTAAGGTGCTCCAACAGGTTATTTTTATTTTTATTTTGCAATATCTATTTATTCCCCACTATAACCCAACGCACAGCGCTTCAGTGAGAGAGCCAAGTACATGCACTAACAGTGGACGACTGTTCATAGTTCATCCTTTCAACAGCTGACTTTGAAGACCTTCTAGTATGCCGTGTGACTGCTGGGCAACCTGCAGCTTTTCACATCACTCTCATCAAAGGTGTTTCCTAACAGAAAAGAACCCTAATTCTAGCAATACCCGAGTAATAATTATGGGAAGTACTACTCTGCTCCAGACAGTTAAGTGGCATGCAAGATGACAATACCCAAACTGAAAAAAAATAAAGTTTACAAAACTGTCTTGCCATGTTTAAGTAAAAAAATGTTAAGAATTCCTTATGCATAATGCAGTAAGATAAAACTGAAGGACAAACCTATTTGAATTTTAAATTAATAGTTCTGAAAACTTGCATGACCTCTCTTGATCTCTCCAGCAGAGCATGCAGAGTAGAGAGATCAGACAATTTGTTCCCGTGAACCAGCTTTTAGCTTCAATTCTAAACTTCCCCTTTCCCTTCGGTCACGTTCCTTCGTTTGCATCACTTTGCAAGCTCTGATCATATTTACTGTAAAGTCTAAGACACATCTTTTTCAGTTTCACCTGTTACATCCTAGGAAATGACTAATGAAATCCGAGTTTCTTGCTCAGTTTGATTTCAGTGTAGGCACATTCTCTGTAAGGAGATGCCCAGCCAGCCCACATACATCTCTGGTATATGAATTTGAGGAGAGACTTAAGGCTGCACACTTTCTTGCTGAAGATTTCCCCTGCTTTCTGCTAGCTTTAGATGTGTTTTCAGCTTCAACATCAGCTTCGAGCAAAGTCTGTTGCTCTTTTGTGGATTTTTGAAGTCTTGAAGATTGTTTGGGTTACTAATAAGTTCTTTCTACTTGCCACTAATCTCTAGTTCTTGAAATAGCAATGACCTTCAGACAGCTTTTTACTGTCCTGTACCAAGGAAGCCGGGATGAGCCAGGTTATGAATGACTGAAATTCCCTTACTCTGTTTTTATATGTATTTTAGGATGAAAGCAAAGACAAGAAATTGAAAGGGAAGTATCAAGAATCATTATTTCAACAATCACAGAAAAGTAAACATAGATAGGTCTGGGAACTACTGGGCAACTATCCCAATGCACTAAAAGCAGGATTCGTTTTCCTCTGTTATTTCTAGGATTACTTTTTTTTTTTTTTGCTCCCTTTTTTTGGGTAAATCATTGACTTCTATGCCAAGACTCAGGATGTCTTCAGTGGCAAAAAGAGTTACAGAAAAGAAACACAAAGACCTTGCATGGAGGGATGTGTGCCTGCATATTACATACTCAAAAAGCTCTTTTCCTTTTTTTTTTTTTTTTAAATTAAACTGAAAGGGAGAAAACAAGCAGCAATTCAGAAAGTGAGGAGATGTGCTGAGAAAAATATATCCAGCAGCACTTGTCCAAGATGGCAGATGACCTATCTATTTCACATTCAGTAAGACTGACTCCATAACCAGGCTAGAAATAGTCAATGTTTATTCAGCTTGTTCTTAATTGCCTCGTCTGGGATCTCCGAAACCAGAGACTATCTAAGAATTTCAATCTGGCTTCTGTTGATCAGAAGTATCGTGTAGAGTTCATTTCATTAAAATATCTGAGAGAATTAAAGCTAATTAATGATCTACTTCCTTAGCCACCTTGCACAGGAAGAGATTTCAATAAACGTGCCAACATGTAGCTCCTTGTATAGCAACAATAAACTTGCAGGTCCCAAGGAGAATGACTGTTTTAGTGTCTTGAACTCTAACAAAATCTGAATCTATTTTAACATTCTCTTCTGTTTTGCCCATTAATAAAGTTTTAAACTTTCACTGTACCTACTGAAATACACTAAGGAGACAAACTTCAGATTAGATAAACATAGAAGCAAATCACCACAGGGAAAACGAGCTAATTTTTTCTGTAAAATAATCAGCATTTTAAGAAACTGATAACAAAAGACAAGAATTTACTCTTAAAAAAAAAAAAAAATCTATATCCATAAAATAATCACGAAGCTTATTAGTCAACTTACTTTCTTCATGTACTCTGTCACTGGGTTCTGTTGCAAGAATTCAGTACTTTCTCGTGTATAAAATCTCTCTGTGTCAGCAAGAAACTGAGATTCAAAGGATTCTTTATAGACAGTTAGTGTAGGTCCTTTTGCAAACGCATCATCTTCATTCAGCCCCAGCTCCACTACAAACAAACAAACAAAGACACCACCAGTAGTGTCAAAATTGTCTTTACAAAGTGGTCTCGCAAATAAGCGGATACCCTCCTTCTAACTTATATGAAGGTAATCAGTTGGAACAGTCTCAGCATCACTCTTAAAAGTATTCCTTTAATTTGCATTTGAAAATAAGCAACACAAGACATTACTCAAGTAAACTGTGGATGCTAGTGAAGTTTTCCAAATCCCACCTCAAAAGCTAGTTCAAATTCCCCTTACATTTTTCTCCTCTTAGAGGAAAAATCCCCAGATTATATGCATATTTTTTTTATTAATGAAACTTGTCATTAATCTGCATGATAAAACTCTCAATTTCATGCAAATGGGAAAACACCCAAGCCCACTCTGCTTTGTAAACTACTGTGCTCCCCCTCTTCCAGATTTAGCTCCCAAATAACCAATTTGTGAACAATGAACACTCTGAACACTCTTGTCTATCAGTTGTGCTTTCAAGCTTTACAAATACAGTATAATCTACTGAAATTGTGTCTAGGGTCTCTATAAACATGATGTTAAACAATATATTACTGTGTTTATTTTACTGTAAACATCTTTCCTGGACATATGAGGAGGTGGGATGCTACTCCTGGGCTCTGATAGGGGATACTTCTTATTTTTAACAGAGTAATAGAACCTTAAAGAAATCTCATTTACCATAAGATTGTACAACTCCACTGATCAGCCTTGTATTGATAGTTTCACCATTTCTTTCCTTTTCAATCAATTTCAACACAGCATTTGTTACCTTAGAAAACAGGGATTAAAAGTAAGTCAAGCACAGAGAAAGCAGCCGGTAGGTCAAGCACAGTATTTAATCAAGAGTGTATTCCTATATTCAAGGCAAGGCAAGTCCCTCGAGAACAAAATTTAAGGAAACCTGAACCTATAGAATTCCTACAGACATCACTGAATATGCTACACCTTCAAGATCTACAATGTAATTACAGTCCAATTAGTGGGGAGCTGTAAAAGGGTACGAAAGTGGTTGGGTTTAGTTTTTTTTTTTTAAATTTTAAAAAGTACCTTCTAAACCAAACTTGTTTGTTTTATACCTGAAATACAAGAAGACTTTGCAGTAAGAACTGAACTAACCCCCCGTACTTCACACAAAGCAAGCTATCAGTTTATGTTGATAAAAAATGTGCTGCAATTACTGTTCCTCTAAACTGAAATCTAGCTAATATTTTCATAATATAACACAGTCTTTTCATCATGAAGTACTGGTAAATAAGAGTAAAATCGACACAGGTAAATATAATATTTTGTTGTGATGGAATGTCTCGTTTTACATTTTGCTGACTCACTAATTAAAACTATTTGGCCGACCTTAATCTCCCAGGCATCAGTGTAAATTTAAAGATTGAGACAGTCTTGGTACCAAGGTCCGACCAAACACACAGAGAGAGGCCCATTCCCCCCAAATATTTCTCTTTTTAACATCACAAGGGAGAAGCAGAAATCTCCTTTTTATTTCCTGAGTCTACCCCCAATCCTCAAATTTTCCTTGGAACTATTACTTACAATATATAAAGTTAACCCTCTAAAATAGCACTGTAGTTATAACACATATATACACACACACACACATATACCTGCTTATTTAATGGTCTGAATAAGCAGTCTCTCCAGGTCACCAAGGCAAGCTAGAAGCAAAAGAAGAGAGATGAAAGATGGAATAAAGAAAACATTAATATATTTACACATATACATGCAGGATAACTCCTTCAGGAAAGCTGATACAGTACACTAAATAATCTGAACTTTTAAAATTATTTTATTTGGGAACACACGTTTCTCATGCAACAAGACTGTTTAACAGTAAAATTACCATTTGCTTTATTACTAACTGCCTAAAATGTCCCCTTTTCTGGCAGTGATCCATTGCCAACTCTGAGAACTAATAAACCCTGCAAGTTCCTTTGGCAAATAACCCTTTGCAAGTTACTTGTACAGCTCTTTATGTTGGTGATTTTCAGGCTGACACAGTCCCTTAGCATTAGGCTAGTGAAGTTAAGAGGGAGGGTAGTAAAGATACCAACTGCTTTTCTACCATATGCAGAGTTACTTCAGTGAAGTGATAAAATAACACATCACTTTCCTAATGCTTCACTAGCCAGGACAATAATTATCCTCTATAAGGGGAAAAAAAAAGAACAAAACAAATGTACTTTTAGTTATCTGAGATACAGAACTTCTGCTATGTTCTTCCCTTGTTTACGTTACAAAAAAATTATCAAGATCATCTATCCATCTTTCAGAACTGTACCAAAATAACTTAAGATTACAAACCAAATGTTGACTGAGTCTTAGCAGCTTGGATGCTAAAAAATTTGCAGAGATGTACTGAAGTCAACAGAAAAAAAGTGCAATTTACTTCTCCATTCTATATTCGAAACACTTGACTGAACTCTAAGTGGAGTGACAAGGCCACAGTGATGCACACAAATAACAGTATAAGCAGCAAATATCCAGAAACAGCAAACCCTTGCCAGTCTAATACTAGTAGTCCCAGTATGTTCAAGACAGACTGAACATCTCACAGGTTTGGAACACCGAATTTTTATAAATATACTGGGATGGGAGGCAGGTTTCCACTTTGCCCACTTCTTCAAAACTTCTGTGAACTTCCTACAAGTTTCAAGGAGCAATCTGCAGGATGATAATGCAAACCAGCCAGATGGAATGGATAAACCACTCACTTCAAAAAGCTACTTACTGAATAAATTTCATATATTCCTTTACGACCTTCATCGCACTCGCGACGAACCCAATGTCGATTGAGGTAGGCACATATCCCATTCAACACTTTGCTTGAAAACCTATAATCCTCCCACTGTTGAGTGTAGAATTTCAGCACGCTCTCATCCATCAAATCTTCACCATCCTGCAATAACAACAGTTTGCCAGGACTGCTGGGTAATTGTAAGGCACAACCAAGATACAGAAGGGTGTACGACCGACTGTGTAATAAATCTCCAGCATGCAATGTATTTATAGGAAATATAGGGCCAATTCATTTACTTCAGCATTAATAAAGCACCAGGCCTTCCCTAGCACCCGGTCAGGCAGTAAACAGAACCCCGTGTTCTTGGAAATGGGGATGGCATCCTATTTGTTCTTGTTACAGGAAAAAAGATGATGAAGTGGTAACACATGGAAGTTCAGTACCTTTCCAAACTGGACCACTACAGCTTGAATGGAGAAGGGAATAAAAGCAGGAGTGAATTCTGAATAAGACCTTAGACACCTTTACGCAGCTTCTTAAATTAATTATACAGTAGACTTGACAGGACACCACAAATTCTTTTATTATTGCTCAAAACTAAAATCTCAAAAGTTAAAAGCATAATTCCTTTCCAAAAATAACTATAAACCATTTTCCCACAAAGCAGCCCAATATCCAGCTCTATTAGTAGTTTATTTATTAAATTAAATTAATGGCTACCATCAGGCACTTTCAACTTTACAGGCAATCATTTTTTCAGCATTGCTAATATGCCGGTTAATTGGTTAAGAAAGTCTAGCTATTGTTCAAGATACAGGCTTAAGATGGCGTATAAAATTAGTTCTATAAAACACAGAACCACTCTTTTGGCTTGAAGAAGAGAATCAGCTCACAGGTTCACTTGGCGACTGATCTATGCCCGAGGTAAAGCCCACAAAACATTGTTTTGGGGACAAAAGCAAATTTCAACAGCACTCAATTTACCTCCAGTGGCTGCACACACCTCTAGGTTGGTTGATACAAGCTTTTCCCAACCCAACCCAACCCGTATCACTACTACAAATACAGACTGATCTAACGTCCCATCTTACCTTCAGGAGATTTGTCAAGTAGTTCTTCAGAAATTCTTTTAGCCGTTTGTACAATTCCAAGCCAACAAACTGAGCACCTCCAGGCGTCTGGCCCTTTTTCGATTTAGGAGGAACTCCAGTTCCTCGTGCTTGATTCGACTGGTGCACACTAGTACAGTAGTTATAAACATGACTGACAGGAAAGTTAAGGAATGCTTATGTGTCAGCAGGAGACATTAAAAACACAACTAAAAACAATCTGTTAACTTCAATAAGCTATTATGACATGACTGTAAGTGACAACCATAATGCAAGATCCATTAGCCCGCATCAAATCAAACCAAAGCTAAGAAAATGAGGTAATTTTTCAGCAGAATTATCTGCAGCAGAAATGTGTCAGACTGCCGAGCGCACTGCAAATACTGATGCCAGTATTAAATTTACCTAACACCAAGAAAACAAAGCAGTGGAATCTGCTGATAAAATTATCTTCAAGGTTTAAATAGAATTTATTTGATGTATTCTATTGGCCTTCTACAAATACGTAAGCTTTCATTTGAACATGAAGAAATTTCAACACTAGCCTCAAGCAACATTCAGTAGTTGAAAACACAGAGGATAATATTTTTAGATTCTCTCAAACACAATCCTTTATAAAAGATTTGGCCATTTAACAGGGGACAAACCTAGAAAGCAGCAATGGTGAGACGTGCACCACAAGATAAGACTCACCAAAACCCAATTTTAGGCTAAAAGTATAATCCCAACATTTAAGTATGTGGTAGCAATAATTTTTCCTCTCATTTATACAGCCTCGAAGAGTTGCTTGTATCTGTTAATATAACATTTAAAGAAAAGATCTAAAACATTAAAATAGTCAGAATTCTTCCAAAGTAGTAAGTGGAAGTCATGTTGCTCGTAACACTTCAAATAAGAAATCATCCTGAAGGAAACTGCACTCCACAAACACGGAAAATAAACTAGCTTGGTGGCACTCAAATTCAGCCTGATGAGGACTCAACAAAAATTGATCTGACAACAAAAATTACCCTAATGGCTCACCCAGCAAATGATCAGCCAACATGAACCAGAACGAAGCTACTGAGCACTCCTGCTTCTACTGACGGTCCAGGGCAGGCTTCTGAGTCACAGCCCTCGTTAGAGAACATCGCATTAAGCAATCCAGAAGGTCTAATTTGGTTTTAACTTGTGTTTTAACTAATGGGCCAAGCTTTAACCACTAGACAGACTTCCTCCACGCTATGCCAGGCATTAGGAAATTAATATGCTGCCGAGATTTGCCTTTTATCTTTCCCTTCAGAAAGACCAGCACAATATAATGGAAGACATCAACACAATTTAATACCAAGGGAATGATAAACCCCAAATATATGATGCATTACAGGCATTATGAACAAACTTGCTTTTAGTTTTTAAACAGCAGAAAAATCTCTTAAAATATCCAATTAACTCCTTCCAGTTACTTAAAAAAAATGCTTCATAGATCAAATCCTTAAACTGCGTTTAAGGATCTGATTTGTCTGTGAAGCTTTTTTTATTTTAAAGATTTTTTTTAGATTTGTCTGTGAAGCTTTTTTATTTTAAACTGGGTTTAAGGATCAGAGTATCCTGCTTGCCACCAGGAACAAGGCTTTCAGTCTTTGTGTCAAACTGAAAGGAAAGCCTGTGCACGGCCTATGATCATTTACTTGTTCAGAAAGTCATTGAATTCTCTCCAAAAGAGTCATGCTCTTTGCCCAAGATTAACCCTTTTGGAAAACATACAGCATACATTTGTTTCTTACCTCTGACCTCATCCAGGTGCCAAATAACTAGATTTCCCATGATATCAACCAATAACATAAAATCTTCATTTGTGCCTAGCAACTGAACTTTTATCAGTCACTTATGTCCTGGACATCAATGATTTCTTTCAGCTCCTAGTCATTAGTTTGTTCAACTTTCCTGGCACTGTTGCTGCTTTTACCATCTCTGCTTCAATTTCAAAATTCTCTGTTCAAGTGAGGAATGCCACACAGTGTAACAATTTTTCTCTGGATGCAAACCTTTCTTTTCACAAATGAGAAAAGTAAGGCTTACATCACAGTTTAAAATAGTTAATATAAGGTCCTCTGAATTCTCTATGGAAAGTCTCTCCATCATGATACAAGGAATTTAATGCTGATTCATGAATACCCAGTTGGCAGTCCTGCCTCCTTCCTCCTCTAACTCTCCTATCCCACGTGGCTTTGAGCAAGCCCAAAAATACGAGGACTGTCTAGATGATGGGTAATTCTTGCAGGTTTTGTGATTACTGCCTGATGAAAATATTCTTTCTGTTCTTATCCAAGAATAATCACAACAGCTTTCAGAAAAATAAAAGACCAAGGTTAGAAGACATAAGTCTCTTTCTAACCCCACACATTTTATAATTAAAACCAGGATTCCTTGTAAATATTGAGAACGACTGAGACCTTCTGTCCCCATCTGGCAGTAATCACCTCAGAGCTGAAGTAAAAACATACCAGTAATGCCCACCTTTACTTGTTATTCTGTCTTGAATCTTGCTCGCCAAAGTGTCCAAGACAACACTTTTGAAATGCTCTAATTTAGTTGTTCTACACGAGTCGTAGTCAAACTGAACACCAAAGTCAAGCTGAAGTTAGTTTGCCTGTGCAGAAGGTAGTTTGCAAGTGTGAATAACTCTATGACATACTCTACACAAAAGCATCATGCTCTCTCACGCGCTATTCACAATCTGTGCCCCCACCTGCCAAAGCCAACCACTGACAGACTGACAAATTCAAAACTAAAGACGACTTGCACTGCTTACAATGAAGTACACGACAGTCCATCTGAGAATCACAAAAAAAGAATGAAAAAGATGAAATTCTTTTCTTCTACGAAAAGAATTCTTGGTTGCAGAAGGCAAACTAATCCCTTCAACTGCTTTATATGCTGGAAGCCACATACATACCCAAACAGCTATTGGGAAACATTTCTGTGGGTGTTTGCACTCTTCTGCGTGGCAATTCACATACTAGAACAAGCAGAGAAGTTAATTCATCAATAGAATAGTTTGTAGCTGCTCCCCAGGCTTCTGGTTGCTGAACTTCAGATTTGGCCCAGCAGACAGACAAACCATCTACAGGAGAACAGATCAAGATCAATCTCCTTTAACTTCTACACTTTCCTTACAGTGAAGGAGAAATTACATTTACTTATCTGAATTAAAATTTGAAGTAGACGACTGCAAGGAATTTTATGAACTGATTCAGGATTGTGCTGTTCATGAGGAAAGATGTCCAGAACTTTATTCTACTCTGAAACTCTTCAAAACGGGATACAAGAAGCAGCCAAACACAAATTAACTTTGCCACCTTTGTATTCAATATAATTTATACTGCTTTTGAGAACCTTGATTCTGTTTCTAAAGCTGAGCAGTAAAAAAGGAAAAAAATAAAAATCCCATGTTGTTATTTCATAATGAATTTATGGCTGTAGGAGATCATGTCCACTGAAGAAAATGATCCTGATACACAACCCACCTGGAGGGCTGACTTGCCACCTGCTTTTCCAGTAGCGTGGGAGTTCATGCAGGCTACCAGTGACCTGCTGCTACAACTGCTGTCCCTGTCCCTGATCCTTTGCTGAGCAGATGTCTGCGCAGGGGAAGTGAAACAGATCCTTTCAGCAGTAGTGAACAATCTTTTGGAGCAAGTACGCCATCAAAACACAAGCCCAAGCGTGCCACCGTCACCTCTACTCTACACTCCACCCCTGAAAAGTACCAGAATACTCCATACAGCATTTTTTTCCTCCAGGATTAAGTGCAAACAGAAATTACACGACACAAGTATCAGTTTTGCAATTCAACATACAACAGGAAAACACAAGATTTTACACTGATGGGTGCAAATTACTGAGTTCTGCACGATTCTCTAATCTTAAATTTTTTATAATGAAAACAGTTCTGCTGAGGTAATAACTGATTCCCCTTCCAGCAGCACAGCTGGGTCCCCACAGTTTTTCCATTTTGCTATGAAAAATTAATGGAACTGCAATAAGTATGCTTGAGGAATAGATAAGTAAAATTAAAAGGAACTGAAAGGGAAGTAAAATTAATACAGGGTAGTACAAAACTATAGGGCAGAGAGAAACAACAACAAAGCTTTTGAAAAGGAGGAAGCAGGCAACAACAACAACAGCTGAAAAACTCTCTAACCAGAATCTCTCTCTCCTTTCTTCTACTCTCTTTATAATAAAGATCAGTTTTAGGCATAATTTTGCTGTTTCACAGATCTTAAGCAGTAATTGACTCTATGCTGAGTGCTCTGTCACCTCAATACCTGGCCTACAGGAACAAGTTGAGATTATTTCCATTTTTGTCAAAAACTTGTATTTCCCTAGATTACACCAAAGCCATAGAAGAACAAAATACAGAAAGGAACTGGAAACACTGACAGGAAAACTGTTAGGAAAGGTTATGGAAGTTTTGTATTCTTGTACAACTTCTAATGCAAACAATGCAGTTTAATATATTTACTAGAAAACAGCTTTACATATTTTCTTCAAAATTATGAAAGGTATTTCAAGTCCTGCGTGTCCAGAAGATTAGGCTATGCACACCTCCTAAAAACACCCCCTGCATAAGCAAAGCTGCTAAGAGAAATGGACATGCCTGTATGACCACGGCGATTCGTAAGTCAAACAGACGGAAGGAATTTCGCACAAGTTTTTGCACAAACTGATGAGTTTACCAAAATCAATCACTTTTCAGAACAAGTGCTTTCTGAGGACCAGTAGTAAAACAAACAAACAAAAAACCAACCCAAAAAACCAACGCAGAAACCTTCATTCTTTTCAGGGAGGTATCAGCAGAGCCTATTTTAAGTAGGGTTAGCTTGTCATCCAGAAAGGAAGGGTTACAGATACCCTGCAAAGCAGTTCAAAAAATCAACAGTCTGCACCCAACCCCACGTATTCTCCATTTATGTTTCAATACACTTTATCCTAAGATCAACTACCCATTTTAAGTCTGTAGATGACATGCCATGGCACTGTTAAACCATTCCCATTTTAGCCAGGGAAGGACTGAGGCAAAGATTGAAGGAGCTATTTCAGCATCAGCCACGCAGCTGCTATCAAAATCCAGGCATAACTGAGCTCAGACAAGTTTCTGCAAGTCTGAGACCTGAGAACCTTCTAGCACAAGCCAGCTGAAGACTAACAGATAACTTCTTGCTTCCCTCTTCATGGTATAAACTACAAAGAATCACAGAAAAACACTGAGTTACATGGAAAACACAAGTTTTCCAAGCCAAATGCATATACAAAGTGTAACACCAGAGACTAACATATAAAAGAAAAATAATTTCTGTTTTCTTTTGGTGTATTGTGGACTCAAAATTAGACCCATTAATAAAATCACTTTAAACATCTGCTCTGTCAAAGATAATTAGCAATCAAACCTGAAATTCAGAGGTAGCCATAATTATGAAGACAGTTTTCCAGACAACAGAATGTTCCTGCCTATTTGCCAGTGAGATTAAATAGAAAAGGCTAACCTTCAAAATAAAAATATATTCTTAAGAAACACTAAGATAAATAGTTATGAAGCAATTTTGAGTTTAGAAAAGTAAAAAGTTATCTCCATCTACTAACAGTGAAAGTACTAACTGCCTTAGGCATTAGGATACGTGTAAAGTTCCATGTATCTGGATTTTGCCATACTTTGTCTGGTGTAAACCTGTTGAATTCCAGCTCTTAGGTCATCCCATATCTGGTCAAGACCGATCTGTTTAAGTCCATGTGGGTTCTGACTCCTATTGGATGACATTTTGTATTTCCTGTGAAGTCTTCCAGTGCAGCAGCCTGAGATCTGGTTATTCCTCCATCAGAATCACAAGTCAAGTAACATTCTAAACTCAGTTGGAGCAACTCAGGGAGATATTCTTTACATATAAAGAGTGACGTTTCCCAGGAAGATCATCTGCAAAAGGAAAAGAAAATATACATGTTATAGGACAGTCCAGATTCATTCACACTAGAGAAAAAGATACAAAATTAATGATTTCATAGAAACATTTTCATTTACACAGATGAGAAATCCATGATGAGATGTGAAATACCAGAACCAAGGAATGTCATTTTGCAATACAGGCATCCACTACAAAATGTGACTGTTAGGGCCCAGATCTGCCCAAAGCCTGCAGGTGCCTAGTCCAGTGCTACTGACAACAAATCCCTAATGCTAATAAGAAAATGTAACAGTAGAAATCTTTCCAAGCAGCAGACACTCTCCTACTATGAGATGTTTCCTTCCCACACGACAGTAAAAGTCTAATATTTCCGAACAACTCAGGGTTCTGGGGCAACTCTATTTAACAGGCATCCTGATGGATATCAGAGTTTAACCAGAAGATACTAAAAGTAACTATTTTTCTTCAGTTATCCATAACTTTTCCAGACTTCAGATTCTATTACAGGTAACCTCAAAGTCCAAGGTATTTCGCAAGGAGGGAATTTTTCTATCTGGTAAATACATGCTTACATTAATTTCTTTGCTAATTAAATGAGCACCGCTTCCTTCGATGTCACCTTACCAGCAAGAGAACATGCAGCCAATAACGGTGGGAAGAAAGGACAACTAATGGAGTGCACAAAGTAAAGATTGCATGAATCGTGAGTGAAAGAATAAGACACTAAGGAAATGTGCTACTCCCCTGAGTGCTTAAGCACACAACGTTTGGAAGGTAGTGGTAAGACACTAAGGAAATGTGCTTAAGCACACAACGTTTGGAAGGTAGTGAAGAGACGGCTATCGATACATCAGGCTCAGGAAATGACAGAGCAGGAAAACAGTCACCTGGAAAGGACTACTGAGAACATCAAGCAGAGAAGATCCATTTTTACAAAAACATTTTGCAATTTTAACGTGTCTCACCAACCACAGCAACACAATTAAGAAGATGATAACCAAAAATGACAAAGGAGGTAACACGATCTAAAAAAATTAATCCACAAATAACAGGGTTGCAGTAAGTCAGGACCAGCTTACTCTTACTGCAGCCTTTCAACATATAAAGGGGCTTACAAGAAAGATGGAGAGACACTTTTTACCAGGGACTGTAGTGACAGGACAAGGGTCAATGGTTCTGAATTGAAGGAGGGAAGATTAAGGCTGGATACAAGCAGAAATTCTTTGGTGTGAGGGTGGTGAGACCCTGGCCCAGGTTGCCCAGAGAAGCTGTGGCTGCTCCTCCCTGGAAGTGTTCAAGTGTTCTGTAACTTTCTAATTTTCATTATATCGGTCTGAGCAACAAGTACTGTCTCATTTCAATCAGACATAAACGGCTTCTGTAGCTAATTTTTCTTTTTACATGCATAACAATTACTTAGAAGATTAGGTGGAAAAACAAGAACTCAATCAATACTTATCTTATAAAACATACACTTAAAATTTAACCTTGCCATTCTGTTTCTATAATTACTGCAAACTGGTTATTAAAGATACACGGGAATAATGCATCACCAAGTGCAAGACAGACCATACCTTGTTCGTATTTAACTTCTTTAAATTCTGGAAACCGAACCTGCTGCAGTACTAGCAAGGACGGACTTTCACGCCTGAGCAATGAAAGCCTGAAAGAACAAAGGTCCAGGAGGAGCCATTCGTCTCTACCAGGGAAACGCTCTGTGCACGTTACACACCCACAGTCTTGGACTATGATCCTAGCTCAGCATTGCCATACAAAGCAAGAACATTCATTTGATGTCTAGAATCCAGGAGAGAAGAAACTTCTTGGTTCCTTAAATCGGATACAATTCGAACTCACCACACAAGCACGAGAAGACACAGCTACAGACAGGCAACCTCCCCCTAAGTAACCCTCTGTATTTAAGTCAGAATGGAGCCATTAAAACACCACCATGAGAAAGAATTTAATATTGATTTTTCCTTTCTCATTCAGTCCACTACGTAGAAATATCTTTTCTTTATAAGCAATAAACTCCACTGCATTTGACATTACCTCACTATCCCTTGGCTGGCTCCCAATTTGAATTTCGCAATTAAAGACATGAATATAGAATGACAGCATCATGTTATTAACTTCCTAGACTCAAATAATTTATTTCTTCCAGTTAGCTACTGGTTAACACAGTTGGGAAATAAAGCAATAGATGAATCATGCTATAAACTACTACTAATTTTTTTGGAAGACTTATTAATGTGCAGAAAAATAGAAAGGTAAGTATTAATATATACTATCTTAACAGGAGTAAAGTTTTAGTATCTAAGAATGCTTAAACTACAAAAGCATATTTATCAAAGCAACCATTTGTACTTCGTGGTCAAACTAAGCTCTAGTGTTAGATGTATAGGGAGAGGGGGGGTAAAACAAGGCTCTGTCGCTCAGCGTAGTTGCTATTATAGTCAAACACCCAGTGAAAATACGAAAGTCTATTTTATGTGAAAAGTGTAAGTGTAGTTTTCAAAATTATTTTTGTGATTCACACATTGGAAACCTCTCCTAAGCGAACAATTCTGGAAGGTCAAGTCTGGTCCACAGCAGTGACACTGCATCTCTTTAGCCAAGGTCCTGATTCTTAATGCCCAGGTTGTGCACAACTGCCAAGAGCAAGGTGTCCTCCCAGGAACCAGGAATTGATGAATTAAAACCTCAACACTGAGTCATAACCTCCACATCAGCGAGATCTCTCACCTTCCCAAGTGCTGCTGGCAGGACTATGAACAAGTCAGTCTTGAACTGACAGTCACTGTGGTTTCTCTCTGAACAATCCAACTTACTGGTGACCTGGACCTCCTGCCCAGGTTGTAACGTCTGCTCTGTAGCTCTGGACCAAAGAACTCACACTTCATTGTATCTTCAGGACCAGCAGTCCTGCAGTTTCCAGCTAATACAGACACCATCTGATGCAGCAGCAGTATGAGTGCTCAAAGCCATCCCATCTTTCAACCCCGCGCTCAAGCGCTATAAATTAAAGGACTGTCAGAGAAAACTGTTGTTTCTGCCCATGCCAACTGTCAAACAGAGGTAACATTTCTGACAAAACCTTACAACAACGGCCGAGAAGGACAGAGGGAAACGCTATTCCTTCTTTCCATTCATTACTGAGGGGGACACAACAAGACACATCTCACACGCAAGGAAACACATCGCATTGTCTAATAATAAATGGTATTTCTTTTAGATATCCTGTCTGAGGAAAGTGATGTCTATGTCAAATGAGGGCTGTAAGAAAATCAGAAAGTGAACCCTACTTTTATCTAAAAAGCATAATAAAACCCACTGGATCTGCAGCATCTCAAGCCATCTTGCTCATTTTTATGTCCTAATACAACATAACTTTCAGCTTCACAGCTCCAAGGCCTGTGCAACACCTGTTGTTCTCCCACAACCGCTTATTTCTAAAATACAGATTTCAAGATAGCTTACTCCAATCATCACAGACAGAATTTGAAGTTGTCAGCTTCTTGGCCCAGTAAGAACTTACAGGTCCAGAGCAAAGTTTTCCAGCTGACCCAAGAGCACAGACAGCAATTTTTTTTTTTTATGTAGGATCCAGACTTAGTAATTTCCAAGTATTTCATCCCTTGTCTAATTTCAAACATGAAGAGAACATTCTTGTCACGCCTAATAGCATGAGCTAAGGTGACCAGATTTAATCATACTAAAAACAAACACATTAGGGAAGAGAAGCAAGTTTCACTAATAAGCTATGGTGGAATGAATGCCACTAACAATATGTTCAAAGACTTCTAGAGTTACAGGATTTCCAAAGTTTAAAAGTCAGAGTTTCACCTCTGTACACTGCCTCAAATCCATTTTCTAAAACTGGATGCAAGTTTGTCCAGTAACAAAAATACAGGACAAGTTCATTTGGACACCGGTTGCAGTTTGACATCTTTTGTAAAAATATGATGCAGCGACCATGTTCACTTCAATGGCCACTACAAAGTGCCAGCCCTCTGTGCTGAAAGGATGAAGGAGAACTTTTAATCTTTGGCTTCAAAAGACAAGAAAAAGGAGTAAGTTTAATACAGTCATCCACTTAAAAACGTAAAATGAAATTCCTCTTGCCAAACTCTTTCCTCCTCTTCTCTCCAGCTCGAGTCGTCTAACTTACTTCATCCTGCCCTCCTGTTGCTGTATTTCACCAAGTCTGATCCAGAAATTCAACCGATGCTCTTGTCTTCAGCAAACAGCAACACCCAAAAAGGTTCCCAACCAGTTCTACTCCTTCAAAGTCTCTGCTACCTCCACACTGAGCCAAAGCAACTATTAAGGTTATTTACCCAAGATACACAATACTGATTGAGCCAATGCCATACGACACGAGCACACAAAAAGAATTTTCAAAAAACTAGGACTGAAGCACATTAAACACTACCTCTGCTCTAACACAAGCTGTTTGCTTGCTCTTACGCTATTTTACAGACAACTTCAGATACTGGATGCTGGTTTATACTCTAGCTGACATAAATTTCAAAGTTACTGTAGTTGAAGGGACCCTAAAGGATTATCATATCAAAATATTTCACAAGTTTTTGCCTGACAATAAGCATCCAAAGTCACGGCTATCGTGTTCAGTGTTAGGCTTGATACAAAACATACCAAATAACAAACCAAACCCCTCTGGTAACCAGAGAAGACAATTTATTATTTATATATCTGCTCTTACCAGGTATGGACAGTTTGGCACATGGCACACTGCAAACGATCCATCCTACAAACCTCCCGAAGCCCTGCAAACACACAGCTTTGGAAAAGGCTGCAAATGCAACGTGCAGAGCTGAGAGCAGCACACCTCCCTCCACTGCTATACGTCATTAACCAGATACAGGCATTGGGGTGGGGTGCGGAGACACCTAAAAATTCTCTTTGCTTTCACCATTTACTTCTGTGCTTTTAAAATTTATAAGCTGTTTCTTGGAAATTTTTTCCAGGTTAAAAAAACCCCCAACAAAACAA